ATACTACGCATATTACCCAGACGAATAATAATACGAAACATCTTAACAACATTAGGACTGATCATACTGATAAGACTGAGGAGAAAACGAAGACGGATACGACTACGAATAATGATACTACGCACAATAATACTAATCATAAGGCGACTACGGAGAATTCAACGACTAATACTACTAATTATAAGAAGACGGCTCATACTACTAATAAAACGAATACTCCGAAAACTACGAACACTACTGTTATGACAATGACTAATCATACGAATACGAAGGCGAATGCGGACAAGACGAACAAGACGACGGCACACAATACGAATACGACGAATACTACTAATACGAATAAGACGAAGAAGACGAGGAGGGGGGAGGAGGAGGAGGAGGAGGCGGAGGAGGAGGAGGAGGAGGAGGAGGAGGAGGACGAGGAGGACGAGGAGGAGGGGAGGAGAGGAGAGAAGAGGGAGGGAGGGAGGGGAGGGGAGGGGACGGGAGGGAGGCGACGGGAGGGGAGGGGAAGGGAGGGGAGGGAGGAAGGGAGGGAGGGGAGGAAGGGACGAGGACGAGGAGGCGGAGGCGGAGGAGGAGGCGGAGGAGGAGGAGGAGGAGGAGGAGGAGGATGAGGAGGAGGAGGAGGAGGAGGAAGAAGAAGAAGAAACATAAGCAGAAGAAGAATAACCATCAGAAGAATAAGAAGAATAAGAAGAATAATAAGAAGAAGAATACGAAAAAGAATAATAAGAATAATAATAAGAAACATAATAATAACACGAATAAGAAGACGAAGACGAATACGAAGAATACGAATACTAATAAGAAGAATAATCATAAGAATACGAATACTAATAATAAGAAGACGAAGAAGAATACTAATAATAAGACGACTAATAAGACTAACACGAATACGAATAATACTAATAATACGAAGAATAAGAATAGGACGAAGAACACGAAGAGGAGGAGGAGGAGGAGGAGAAGGAGGAGGGATGAGGGAGGAGGAGGAGGAGGAGGAAGAAGAAGAAGAAAACGAAGAAGAAGACGAATAAGACTAAGACGACGAATACTGATAAGAAGAAGAAGAGGAAGAAAAATATTAATAATACGAATAATAATAAGAAGAATAATAATACGAATAATAATAATAATACGAAGAAGAAGAATAATAAGAAGACGTATAATAATACGAAGAAGAAGACTAATAAGAAGACTACTAATAAGACGAAAAAGACGAATAAGAAGACTACGCATACGAATAATAATAATAATAATAAGACGAATAACACTATGACGAATAATAAGAATAATAATACGAAGAAGAATAAGACGAAGAAACCTAATAAGAAGACGAATATGAGGAGGAGGAGGAGGAGGAGGAGGAGGAGGAGGGAGGAGGGAGGAGGGAGGGAGGAGGGAGGAGGGAGGAGGGAGGAGGGAGGAGGGAGGAGGAGGAGGAGGAGGGAGGAGGGAGGAGGGAGGAGGGAGGAGGAGGAGGAAGGAAGGAAGGTGGAAGGGGAAGGAGAAGGAGGAAGGAGGAAGGAGGAGGGAGGAGGAGGGGGAGGAGGGAGGAGGGAGGAGGAGGAAGGAGGGAGGAGAGGAGGAGTCAGGAGGAGGGAGGAGGGATGAGGGAGGAAGGAGGAAGGAGGAAGGAGGAAGGAGGAAGGAGGAATGAGGAAGGAGGAAGGAGGAAGAAGGAGGAAGGACGGAAGGAAGGAAGGAATGAAGGAAGGAAGTACGGAAGGAAACGAAGGGAAGGAAGGAAGGAAGGAAGGAAGGAACAGGAACGAAGGAAGAGGAGGAGGAGGAACAGGAGGAGCAGGAGGAGGAGGAGGAGGAGGAGGAGCAGGAGCAGGAGCAGGAGGAGCAGGAGGAGCAGGAGGAGGAGGAGGAGGAGGAGGACGACGAGGCGGAGGAGGAGGTGGTAGAGACGGAGGAGGAGGAGGCGGAGGAGGAGGTGGTAGAGACGGAGGAGGAGGAGGAGGAGGAGGAGGAGAAGGAGGAGGAGGAGGAGGAGGAAGAGGAATAATAATAATAAGAAGCATAAGCATAATACTAATAATAATAATAATCATAATAATAATAGTCATAATGATAAGGATAATAAGAATTATAATAATACTAAGAAGATTAAGCATAATAATAAGAAGAATAAGAACAATACGAATAATGATAACAACATAGGAATACTAATAATGATAAGACGAATACGAAGAAGACTAATACGAGTAATACTACTACTAATACGAATATTGCGAAAAATAAGAAGACGAATACGAATAATAAGACTAATAAGAACATACGAATAATACTACTACGAATAATACGAATAATACTGATAATAGTAATAATAAGAATAATAATAATAAGAATAATAATAAGAATATTACTACTACTACTACTAATAATAATGAGAAGAATAATATGAAGAATAAGAATAATACTAAGAAGAAGAATATGAATAATACTAATAATCAGACTAATAAGAATAATACTAAGAATATTAATACTAATAATAAGAATAAGACTAAGAATACTAACACGACGAATAATACGAATAACAATAATAATACGAAAACGAAGCATAATAATACTAATAATAATAAGAATAAGACGAATAATAATCAGAAGACTAAGACGAATACTAAGAATAATAAGAATAAGAATAATAAGACAAATAAGACGAACAATAAGAAGAAGAGGAGGAGGAGGAGGAGGAGCAGCAGCAGCAGCAGGAGCAGGAGGAGGAGGAGGAGGAGGAGGAGGAGGAGCAGGATGAGGAGGAGGAGGAGGAGGAGGAGGAGGAGGAGGAGGAGGAGGGCCAGTTGAGACAGCGTCGGCGCTCCCGCCGTCCCCACGCCCGCTCGAGATCGGCCCTGTGACCCCTCCTGGGGGGCCACCCCGACCCGCTGTCCGACGCGGCTCCAGCCGTGGCGACGGCGAGCTTCGGAGAGGCCCGAGAACTTGGCATCGCTCGGACGTGTGCATTTTTTCTCGGCGAGAACCATCGAGGACCATCCTGGACCATCGAGCAACAAAAACACGCAGGAAACCGAAACATGCACGGGAAGTGGACGTCAGAGCGACGGCAAGAGGAGGAGAACCAGGACCCCTCGCGTGGGCCACCCCGACCCGTTGTCCGACGCGGCTCCGGCCGTGGCGACGAGGAGCCTCCAGGAGGCCCGAGACGGGAGAGCCGAGGGCCCGATTGCCGCTTCCGTCGGGGGGGGGAGGAGGGAGGAGGGAGGAGGGAGGAGGGAGGAGGGAGGAGGGAGGAGGGAGGGGGGACAGGCCTCCCATCCCCGCCTACCCAACCACCCCGACCCAACCCGAAGGCCCCGATTTGCCCCCCATTTCTGGTGGGGGGGGGGGCTGGGAACATTGGCCAAAACACGTGTGAAACCCGTGCCCCCCCCCCCACCCGAAATTCGGGCGAAATTCGGGTCTTCGGGTTGGGTTGGGGTGGTCTGGTAGGTAGTCATCCCGGAAGCACCCCTGCTTCTTGGAAGGCGCGATGTGCAGATGTAAAATGCCGGCGCCTCCTCGGAAGCAGGCTCCTGTCGAGAAACCTTCCCATGAAGTCGCGCGTGTCCCTCTACAGGGGGAATATTCCAAAGTAGTCAAAACATATTCAGGGGACGATTTGACCATTTTGACCACTCGGGGCCGATAATCTTTTGACTATTTTTGGCCATCTGGGGGTATTTTTTTTGAGTATGCTTCATTTTCCCTCGAAGCTCGGTCTGTAGGGGGACAGGCCCGACCTGACCTGCCTTCCCCCCCCCCGCCCCCATGCGCGCGCCTTCGAGCCCTCCCCCCCGCGCCCAGACCCGGGGGTCGACCGGCCGAGCGCGGGAGGGCAGGGCCGAGCAGAGCACCGAGAGGGGGCCCGGGGTGCCCCTGCCCGCCGGCTGGCGCGCGCGCCTCCTCGTGCGCAGCCGCGCGGCAGAGGGGCCCCACAGGCCAGCCACGACTGGGGGGGAGCTGTGTCCCTGCCCCCCCCCCGGGGGGCCACCCGGTTGGAGTGGGCTAAGCAACTGCACCCACACGCTGTGCGGGATCGACAAGACTTTCGTGCACGCCTGAGCGCGTGCCGCGCCGACGCGCCTTAGGGCGTAGGGTGCTCCTTCCTTCCTGCCGGGGGGGGCCCATCGATGTCGACGCCCCTCTCGAGAGATCGTCGATGCGACGGGTTCCCCCAGAGGGGGGTAAGGACCACGGCTCCCCCAGTGATGGCCGGTCGGCTCCATCAGCGGCCCGCCAGGGGGGGAAGCTCGCGGACGCTTCCGTCGGCTGCGCCAGGGGGAAGCTCGCGGACGCTTCTGTGGCCTCCGGATGCGTTCCAGCAGCTGCGCCTCGCCGAGAGCGTTCCTCCCGGGGTGCCCCTCGTCGCCCCGGAGCGGCCACCCGAGAGCCGAGCCATGGCCCGTCGGGCGCCCGAGAGAGGGGGGGCGCAAGCAGCAGCTGCCGCCTCTCCTCGCTCGCAGAGGCACGCCTGGCTCTCCCTCCCCGCGCGCGCCAGGAGAGGGAGGCGCTCCGGACACGCGCGCGGCCCACCTGTGCGGCACCACGAAAGTCAGAACAGGAAAAAACACGTAAACACAAAAGGCTTCTTCATTGGTTTTACGCCGGAAGGGGGCGTCGTTGAGAGGGTGCCTGGCACGGATGCGGGGATCGGGGTGGCGTCGGTGTTTGGAGCTGGCGGTTTGCGTGGCAAGTGCGTTTAGCTGGCCGCATTTGTTTGGAACGCGCGACGGGTGGAAAAACCGTTCGCCAGCAATTGGCAGTCCTCCGCCCGCGTGCCACAACATATCGTCGCGCGCTCGCAACGGGGTGTGGGAAAGAAGGTTGGAAAGAGAGCGCGAGTCTCCTTCCCCAAAAATCCCTTCGATGGGCAGCACACATGTTTTTGTTTGTTCATATGCCAGACGGCCAACCGAACGAACGAGCAATTGTTTCGGCGCGCAGTGTTAACTTGATTGCGCGCATCCTGGCCCCCTTCCGTTGCTTATTTCGCTTCATTATCGCCCTCCTCTTCTTTTTCTTTTTCCCCTGCTTTGCCTTGTCCCGCCCCCCCTTCTTTTCCAGCTCGGAGTTGTCACCGCGCGCGACAAGCGCAACCCACAGGGCGCTGCTGTAAATCATTTGTGTGCCACGCAGCCTCGTGTAATTCCTTTTGTGTGCGGTCTGATTGCGCTGCCAACGCGGGGGGCGCACAACAGGTTTTTCCTTTGTGTACGATCGTATTCGCCGGCCCCACAAGAACACGCGCGAATCTTTTTGTGTAGAGCTTGTTTCCCCCCCCCATCAAGGAACGCGCGGGGCCTGACGCTACAAACGCAAGGCCGCGGCGCCTGGCAGCGCGATGCAGCTGCGCCCGATACCACGCCCAAAACAATGTCTCGTAGATTTCGGCACTTATGCCGGAATCGCAGTGGCAGCTGGCCAGCCACATCGCCGGCCCTGCATGCTCTCGCGCGCTACTGCGTTTTGTTGCCGCGACGCGTGCTGCTGTCAACAGATGAACAAACTGACGTTGCATGGTGCTTTGGCGGTGCCAAACCACCATGTAATGTCTGTTGGTAGCGGAGCTTGGGATCTTGTCGCCGCCGACAGCGGTGTCACACCATACCTTGAACTTGCATCTCAGAGTACGGCCGTACATCAACCCTGGGTCGGATCGCCGGGTATCCAATTGCATGGGAACGCGCGCGTTGCACCGTAGGTGGTGCCAAAACCGTTTGTGTGAAATTCCTTTGTGTGTTATCTCTGGCTCCTAAAAAAACCGCAGGCGCGCATGCCCCCGAGCTGCGACCCCATTCGAGGTGAAGAAGAGGGGTTGTGGGCGTTCTCGGGCCGCTTATCGGGCCTTCGGGGTTTTCTGGCCCGCCCTCGGGGCCCCTTTCTCGGGCCCCTGGGCCGAGAAACAAGTACTCGGGAGGAGCAGCTGGTCCCGCGGGCAGCCTCGGAGTCCAGGGATCGCGCCGCCCCTCCTGGACACGGCCACGCATTTCCAGCCCCGCCCCCCCCGCCGCCGCCCCCCCCCCTTTCGTTCGTGCCATCCTGCGGCGTGCCCCTTTCCGCAAGTTCGCCCCCCCCCACGCGGGCTCCGAAGGCGACCCTGCTCTGCAGCCGCAGTGAGCGGTCAGATGCTGCACGACAGCGCAGGGCGACGTTCCTCGTTTTTCTGTCACTCGTGCTGTCCCGCTGCCTGCCCCTCCGCCAGTTCGCCCCGCCGCGGGCTCCGAGGGCGGCCCTGCTTTGCAGCCGCAGGGAGCGGTCAGATGCTGCATGCCAGCGCAGGACGACGCTCTTCGTTTTTCTGCCAGTCGTGCCGTCGCGCTGCCTGCCCCTCCGCCAGTTCGCCCTCTTGCGGGCTCCGAGGGCGGCCTTGCTCTGCAGCCGCAGGGAGTGGTCAGATGCTGCATGACAGCGCAAGACGACGCTCCCCGTTTTTCTGTCATTGAGCGCGTTCCACTACTCGCAAAGTGCCTACTCGCAAACGTCTGGAAGCACACATGCTTACTTCAACATTCTGGGTCGCAGATCCCAGGCGGCGGATCCAGGCCGTTTGCGAGTAGTGACTTTGCGAGTAGTGGAGCGCGCTTGTCTATTATTGCGCGTCGTTTGTATTGCCAGTGCACGGCATTGTTTGGATTACATCATCTAGTGTGTCTCGCATCGTGATTAGGTGCCGTGTTCTTGCCTGCACGTTTGTTGTGTGCATCCGTTGGGCTGTCGGTATCGACCGGTTAATCATGCAGATTGCATGTTGTTTCTGTGTGGTTTCGCGCATGAGGCCGAGAACCGCGGCGACGAACGTGCGATGCTCCTGGAGCATTGGTGCCACCCACTTGTTCGAAAGCCGCGGGGCAGAGGTAGTCATATAAGAAGTGTTGGCATCACTGGCGCAAAGCAGCCAGATAGCAGGAGGAATCAATCAGCTTGGATGTGGAGGAGCTGGATTAGAGAGTATGGGAGCTGGCAGGAATGATAAACCGTGACGGAAGTCGATTTGGCCGAGAAGTCTGTCCGTCGCCGAGGTTTCAAGAAACGGTGCTCGAGCGCGGCAGGCACCGCGTAAAAACTAGTCAGACGAACCAGACGGGCAGTGGGTGCGGGAGCTTGGAGGTAGGGTTCCCAATGGGATGTGAGGGGCGACTCGAAGTGGACGGCATGGAGCGAGACGGAGTGGATGGAAACCGAGGCAAGTGACATGGATATCAAAAGGTAGAGACAGTGTCGGAGGCCTAGAGGTTGACACCAACACCAATATCGGCGGTGTGCCTCCATCCAGGAAAGAAGATCCCGATCTCGGTGATGGTGGTAATATTATGGCTTCCAAGGTGGCCGAAATATTACCACCAACACCGAAATACAGGATCATCTTCCCCCTGTGGAGGCAACCCCCTGTGTTGGTGTTGGTGCCCATTTCCAAGCCTCCGACAGTGGGAGCACATGGCAAGCAGACGGGCAGGATCGCCGTGGAAGGTCAGGGCGAGGGGCGGGCGGCTCTGGAAGGGTCTCTCGCTCCTCCCCGAACAGTGCTTGGCACCGGAGGCTCTCGTGCTCGGCTTCCGTTTACCAGCCTCGAACGTATCCTTATCCCTAAGATTGACACGCCAAAAGGCGATGACAATCTTTAGGGATTCGCCCTCAAAAAGGGAATCCCTAAGATTGGCATCGTGATGAGGAGGTGCCCAGCATAGGGATAGGGATATGTTCCAGGCTGGTAATCCGTAGGACCGCAGTGGTGAAACGAACAATAAAATAAGCATGAAACCTCGGAGGGCCTCGCGGATTTCTCGCATCGGCGCTGGACCCCCCTACCTGTCGCGCGGAGCGCGCCAGGGGCGTCGCCGGAGGCGCCACCAGGGGGGTCCAGCGCCGATCCGAGACATCCGCCAGGCCCTCCGAGTTTTTATGTGTATGCCATTGTTTGTTCCCCTATGGAGGTGCGCGTCGCACTCGCCGTCGTCGCCGCGGCGCGGGGCGTCGGGCATTCTCCGCACCTTTCGCCACCCAGCGGGCCCCGCGTGCCGCACACCGCCGAGGTTTTCTTTCGCGTGGGGCCCTGGGCGCTCCCCGTGCTCTTCGCCTGCCCCGTGTGTGCCCCACGCTGTCGGCGTCGCCGGGTTGCACCGCGCACGCTGCACCACACGGACTGCAACCCACAGCTTGACATCGCTCGGACGATGAGGTTGCTGGTGATAAAGATGAGGAGGATGAGGATGAGGATGCTGATGATGATGCTGATGCTGATGCTGGTGATGCTGATGAGGATGCTGATGATGCTGATGATGATGATGACGATGGTCATGGTGATGGTGATGCTGATGGTGAGTGTGATGCTGCTGATTATGGTGATTGATGGTGATGCTGATGATGATGGTAATGGTCATGGTCATGGTGATGGTGATGATGATGCTGCTGCTGCTGATGATGATGATGATGATGACGATGATGATGATGATGCTGATGGTGATGATGATGCTGATGCTGATGCTGATGCTGATGCTGCTGCCGATGATGATGATGGTGGTGCTGATGATGATGGTGGTGGTGATGATGCTGATCATGCTGATGCTGCTGATGATGCTGATGCTGATGATGATGATGATGATGGTGGTGGTGGTGATGATGATTATGATGATGATTATGATGATGATGATGATGATGATGATGATGATGATGATGATGATGATGATGATGATGATATTGTGCATTTCTCCCCGGCGAGCACCATCGAGGAGCAGCCTGGATCATCCTGCGAGAAAAAATCGCACGAGGCCGATGGAGCTCTGAGCGATGGCCAGGTGGGCTGCACCCCGCGAAGTGCATGTCGCGTGAGTGATTCGCTCGGTATCTGTTCCTGCACCCACTGGCCTCACTCAGACACTGTGCCTTTCACCCGGGGGATGACGGCATGCCTCGCCATCCGTAGCGCGCCGCCTGCTCCTGCGGCAGCCAGGACTGACCGGACACCTTTCAAGTACCACAGTTTTCGGTGCCCGATGCCGCCCGCGCATTCCTCGTGGTGTCGACTCTTTGCGCCTGAGGCATCCCCTCTCTCCTCCTCCTCCTCCTCCTCCTCCTCCTCCTCCTCCTCCTCCTCCTCTTCCTCCTCGTCCCTCCTCCTCTTCCTCCTCCTCCTCCTCGGCGGTTCTGTGTCGCCTTCTTCGAGGGCTGCTGGTGGGTCCAGCGGAGTGAGGCACCGCGCAGATCTGAGCGACACCTCGCCGTCCCTTGGGGTGCTGCGATCTGCGAAACTGTCGCCACTTTCGAGGGTAGTGAGTGTGTCCAGCGGGGTGGAGCACCGCGCAGATCTGAGCGAGACCTCGCCGTCCCTGGGGGGGGGCTGCGATCTGCGAGACTGTCGCCACCTTCGAGGGCTGCTGGTGGGTCCAGCGGAGTGAGGCACCGCGCAGATCTGAGCGAGACCTCGCCGTCCTTGGCGGGCTGCGATCTGCGAAACGGTCGCCACCCTCGAGGGCTGCTGGTGGGTCCAGCTGGGTGAGGCATTACGCAGGCACCACGCCGATCTGAGCGAGACCTCGCAGTCCCTGGGGTGGGGCTGCGACGTGCGAAAATGTCGCCACTTTCGAGGGCTGCTGGTGGGTCCAGCTGGGTGAGGCACGGCGCAGATCTGAGCGAGACCTCGCCGTCCCTGGGGGAGGGCTGCGACCTGCAAAACGGTCGCCACCTTCGAAAGTTGCCGGTGGGTCCAGCGGAGTGAGACCTTGCCGTCCCTGGAGGGGGCTGTGATCTGCGAAACCGTGTCGCCTTTTTTGGGGGTATCTGGTGGGTCCAGCGGAGTAAGGCACCGCGCGGATCTGAGCGAGACCTCGCCGTCCCTGGGGGGCTGCGATCTGCGACACTGTGTCGCCTTCTTCGAGGGCTGCTGGTGGGTCCAGCGGAGTGAGGCACCGCGCAGATCTGAGCGACACCTCGCCGTCCCTTGGGGTGCTGCGATCTGCGAAGCTGTCGCCACTTTCGAGGGTAGTGAGTGTGTCCAGCGGGGTGGAGCACCGCGCAGATCTGAGCGAGACCTCGCCGTCCCTGGGGGGGGCTGCGATCTGCGAGACTGTCGCCACCTTCGAGGGCTGCTGGTGGGTCCAGCGGAGTGAGGCACCGCGCAGACCTGAGCGAGACCTCGCCGTCCCTGGCGGGCTGCGATCTGCGAAACGGTCGCCACCCTCGAGGGCTGCTGGTGGGTCCAGCTGGGTGAGGCATTACGCAGGCACCACGCCGATCTGAGCGAGACCTCGCCGTCCCTGGGGTGGGGCTGCGACGTGCGAAAATGTCGCCACTTTCGAGGGCTGCTGGTGGGTCCAGCTGGGTGAGGCACGGCGCAGATCTGAGCGAGACCCCGGTCCCTGGGGGGGGGGCTTCAATCTTCGAAACTGTGTCGCCACTTTCGAGGGCTGCTGGCTGCTGGTGGCTCCAGCGGGGTGAGGCACCGCGCAGATCTGAGCGAAACCTCGCCGTCCCTGGGGGGGGGGGGGGCTTCGATCTTCGAAACGGTCGCCACTTGCGAGGGCTGCTGGTGGGTCCAGCGGAGTGAGGCACCGCGCAGATCTGAGCGAGACCTCGCCGTTCCTGGGGGGCCGCGATATGTGAAACCGTTGCCACTTTTGATGGCTGCTTGTGGGCCCAGTGGAGTGAGGCACCGCGCGGATCTGAGCGAGACCTCGCCGTCCTTGTCGCCACTTTCGAGGGCTGCTGGTGGGCACAGCGGAGCGAGGCACCGCGCGGATCTGAGCGAGACCTCGCCTTCCTTGGGTGGGCTACGATCTGGGAACTGTCGCCATTTTTGCAGGCTGCTGGTGGGTCCAGCGGAGTGAGGCACCGCGCAAATCTGAGCGGGACCTCTCCGTCCTTGGGGGGCTGCGATCTGCGGAACTGTTGCCACTTTCGAATGCTGCTGGCGGGTCCAGCGGAGTGAGGCACCGCGCAGATCAGAGCGGGATCTCGCCATCCCTGGGGGGTTTCGAGCTTCACGAATGCCGCTCGCAGAATTATATACGCCCATGTCACGTCATCACCTCTGTATAACGTGTTCCAGGCTACTCGTGCCCCGCATTGCGCAGGGGTTGGGTACGTCGCCAGGGTAATCTAAAGGAGGGGATCACCGCAGGGCCCCCCCGCAGGCGGAAGCCCGTTTATAATGTTATGGCGGTGGGCGTTTAGACCGCGCGTCCGTTGATGCGGACGGTGTTGGGCGCAGAAGCTTTCATTAGCTCTCGGGTGTTTGGGGGTCTTCGGTGTGGCGTTCGGAGAATTTCTCCCGAGCCTGTAGTGTAATGTTCGAGGGCAGATGGTTTGGTGAGCGCGAGCTTGGCGTACGTAATTCAGGATTTTACTTGGGGAGCGCGAGCCTGGAGTACTGTTCAAGGGATTGTGGCTAGGGGGCCTTGGGGAGCGCCAACATGACGTAGTTTGTTTGTGCTTGTGGTTTTGGGAGCGCGAGCCTGACGTATTTTGAAAGGGCTTGTGTCTTGGGGAGCGCGAGCCTGGCGTAATTCTCTTGCGAGCGTGACCTGTGGAGCACGAGTCTGGCGTAAGTTGCGAGGGATTGTGGCATCGGCGCGAGCCTGGTATAATTCTTCACGCTTCGCGTATCCCCACCAGTTCGTAGCCTCTGGCTCAAGCCGTCCTGCCCCTCTCCTCCTCTTCTTCCCTGCTCCTTCCTCGATGGCTGATGGGGGGCTGGCCGATGACGCTGGCCGCAGAAGACCCACGCGGCGCACCGCGGCCGAGAGGCGACGGGCGCAGCAGTGGGCGGCAAGGAGCAGAGAGCAGCTTGTTTGGAAGCAGGCTGAGCGACTGCGCGAACTGGAAGG